GTGTGAAATGCATAAAATAAAGTATACATTAATTTTAATTTTGTTAAATATTTTACAGACATATAAACGAAATAACAATTTTGTAGGTTGTCTAAAATTTATTTATCACCATAAAAATATAGAACACAATTTATTGGCAGTTAAATGCAAGTCTGTCTAATCGAGTTTGTTTCAGTGTTTCAACCTTTTTTATATCGTACTCGATTTTTGCGCTATATCAGTTCTAAAATGTATTGAGGTCATTATAGTGAAAAATGAGATATAAAAAATTTTTTTTTACTTGAATGTGGTTTAAATACTAGCATTCCATTTGTAAATGGCATACACAATTTTTCTTATAAAACGTGAGAAATTCTTTTAACAAAGTCAATAATCATTAGTAAGCAATAAAGATTAAGAAAAATATTTTTAAAATTAAATGTGCCAAAACAGTTTGAATTCAGGCATGCACTTGTATAAATTCATATAAATATAACTAACAAATATAAATTTATAAGTTTGTAAGTTTGTAAAAATATATTAAATTACTTCAAATACTTGCAGGCAATTACGATAAAAAACCAAACTAAAAACTGCAAGTACAAATAAATTTTTAAAGTGGCTGGACATGATAAGTTTCCAAAATTTTTTTTTTTTTTGTAAATAATAAATTTAATGGACAGACTGCTGTGGACAGTTAAAATATTTTAAAAATGTACATTAAAAGTACAATAAATGAATATTAATAATCAAAAACAGAAAACAACAAAAAAAAAATATATAACTAAACAAATTAAAATTACAAAACTTTAACAAAAAATGTTGTTTCTTTATTTGAACGCTTACCTCTTGGCATGCCGCAGGGTCCCTTCGTACGTGAATTATCCAAAAAATCCAAATCATATTTGCGCGCAGGTGGATACGTTAATGCGACATGAGCAGCTCCGAAACTCACAAGACTACATAAATAAACAAACAGTACGGCCATTATAAGCCAGACCATGGCACCGGTTTTCGTTTTGGGTTTATTACCGGCCCATGATGTAGTTAGCGTTGTTGTTGTGTTTGAACAATTTTGTAAATTTTTATTATGAACTGTGGCCATTTTCATATGAAAATGTTTTTTTTTATTTATTTTTAAGTAACAAAGACGCTTTCAATTGTTATTAAAAATTTTTTAAATAATTTTAAAAAAAATTCTTTTATTTACACGTGTTTAAAATTATATCTTTTTTTTTAATTTTATTTGATTTTCTTTGTGCACTTTTTGCAATACTTATGTTGTAATTTGATCAAATAAACAAATAAAATAAAATTATTAACTTTTTCATATGCTCTTTTATAATGCAAATAATATAATAACACAAAAAATACACTGTGAGAAAATTGAAAATTGATTTATAATTTAATTTTTGATTTCGTTATACGCCGTTTTGACACTTTGACACTTGAGTACGAAATGTGCATGCGTTGTTGTTGTTGTGGTTTAAAGCAATGCGATTTACATGTGCATACAATGTCGGTATGGGTTTGTGTGAACGTGTGTATCTGTTAGCTGCTTTGATTTCTGCCAGAGTTAATCTACTTTGGTTTGCTCACTCAAAAACCGATTTTCGCATTTGATCACATATCGACTTCATTGATTTGCATTTCGGCCAGAGGCAGACTTTGAAAGTTATGTAATCACTTTTAGGTTTTTGATTTTTTAGGTTTTTATTAAGCCGATTTTAGAAAGCCTTAATCTTTTTTATTTTTGTGTATTTTATGTAAAAATTTTACTGTGGAATTCCGTTATATGTCGCTAAATGAATTTTCACAAATTCATTGACATTTCGTCCAAAACAGAAAAAGTTTATAAGTGGTACCTGTAAAGAAAAAAAAAATATTGCGTTTTAAAAAAGTAGTTAAAAACGTTTATTATTATATATTTATTTATTGTATGTATTAATCTCTATAAATGAAATGAAATATAAAATAAAAATAATCTTAATACATTATATTTCGAATATAAGTCAATCGAAGCATAATGATGTACTACAAGAGCATAAGATCACTTGAAATAAGAGCACAGCAGAAACTATTAGAAAATTTTATAAATTAGCCACTCTAGACAGATCTATTTTAAAAATTTCGTAAAAGGTTGATTTATAATTTGTATTATAATTATAAATAAAATTATAATTTCTATTTTAATTATTTTCTAATGAGGTTTTTCGAACAGTAGTATGTAAACTCAACAAAAATTCATTTTATATATTTTAATTAATTGGATTTTTGGCTGACCATACAGCTGTTTCGAGTATTGCCAATTACCCATAATCAGTAGTCTTGGAAATAATTCTTGTATTTAATAATTCGTGAATAATTATTCGTAATTATTTTCTAAGTAAATTTTAAATTACATTGAATAATCACACTTTTATCTGCAATGTAAAGTTATGAGTTCATGGTACAGATGTAGAATTTTAATATACTTCAAGACAGCTAAACAATTGACTCAAACGTTTCTATGAAGTTTTTTGAACACTGTTGGTGCGAAATACTATTACTAATAAGTAACTAATAAATACTAATAAATACTGTAAATCTGCACATTTACATTATGCGGTATCTATAATTTTTTTATTATTTTCAGCAAAGAAATTAATGTTTGTTTTCAGATTTGAAATTATTTTTCAATAAATTTGGAGTGTTTATCGTATTTGACTAACTAGTGTTGTATGCAATAAAATTGTAAAATAAGTTAAAGACTTCTCTATAAAGTAGTTGAAGATTCTTTTTTATTAAACTCTTATTGCATAAGAAAATATTCTATAACATAATGATGTCTATATTTTGCCATGTGTATAATTTTGTAAACAGTATTTAATAAAAATGAAATAAATTCTCTGGTGTATATACACATTTTAAATGTCTTATTAAAGCTGTCAAGGTGTAAAGAGGGGTTTTGAAAATACCTCGAGTTAAAAAAGAGTATAAGTGCTTAAGTGCACTAGCTCAAAACAACTTCAATATAATAAAACTGTATTTTACTGCGATTCAGAAATATTGTTTTATTTATTTTTAAAACAATCAATGTCTATTAAATAGGGAAAATAATAAAATATGTCCACAAATAACTTTTACAATATCATTTGTATAGATACAGCCAAGAATAACAGTTATTATTTATTATTTAAAGTGGACTACTAGTGTATTGCGATAACTTCGTTATAACCGATCATTAAATGCTTACGTTGTGTATATAAAAAATTATTTATAGAAAAAATGGTCAATAATTAATGGCATATTTTTTAATTGGGTCATTTATACGGATTTATTCTTTATTTTATATTTTATGTTTATAATTTTTTTTTAAATTTTTATTTATTTAAATACCTATTAGTATGCGGATATAATAATTTATATGAACTTAAAAAACACACTAAAAAAACTTATGAGAAGCCATCATCATATAAATTGCAGAATATATTTAGAAGCGAATTTATTTAATTTATAGTTACGGGAGTTTTTTATTAAGCGTCAACTGATCTGACTGACAAATTTTTATAATTTTGGCAAATGTTGTATATTTTTACGACAAAGATATGAATTTAACTTTGTAATTAAAGCGACAATTATTACAAAAAAACCGTCAAGAAATTGTTTTCATTTTTTTTTCGTTGTTGCGTTTGTCTCCATTGTTGCATTACTGAGTCGAGACAAAACATTACGAAAACTATGTACCAAACAATTTCTCACAGTTTTACGAAACATTAACAATATTACAACAAGAAACGCATTTAATAAATCTTAAACCCACAAATGCATAAAATATTAATTAAAAAATAATTGGTAATAAAAATGTTTTTCTTTATTAAATGGAAGGCAAAGCATTGCAACTTTTATTTATTAGCTGCATTTCTCGTAAAAATTCAAGAGTTTTGATAAACTGTCTTTTTTTGCTTAAATTGGTAAAAGTATATAATAATATGAATAAAATAAAATTTAGTATGTATGCATGTTTAAATTTAAATACAAAAAAAAAAAAATGGTGAGACTGTGGTAAAATTTTCTCTAGAGTGATTATGCAGATGATGACTACTAGCATCTGAAAGCAAGTGTGGATTTGGTTGAGATTGTTTATTGTTGCTGGTTATTACTTATGTAATGCCATTAAGTGTAAAATACATGAATAGTAAACTTTTCTTGTACGAGGGGAAAAAATCATATAATTAGCATATTAAGTGAATTGTTATATTAAAATTATGCAGCTGCAGAGATGAATAAATTAATAAATTTTAAAATTCATAGTAAAGAATTTTTAAAACTGCGCTGAATAAACAACATCTCTCTTAGTTCATTCAATTAAAATTTTGTTCAAATATTGCAAATTTTAGTTTAAAATTAAATGAAATATAAACAGAAAAATGTGATTAAATTATAAATTCAATATATTGTTTTTAAATATATTTAATTATTACAATAATCAATATTATTAATATAAAATTAAATGAAATATAAACATAAAAATGTAATTAAATTATAAATTCAAAAATTGTATTATATATATGTTTATACAATAAATTTAAATGTTTCAATTAACTATTAAAATCCGATACAGTGTAAAAATAAATGATATATTAATATCAAAATATTGTTTTATATATATTTTTATATAATAAATTTAAATATTTTATTAACTATTAAAATTTCGATACATATCAGTGTAAAAATAAACGATATATTAATTTCAAAATATTGTTTTGTATATGTTTTTATATAATAAATTCAAATGTTTTATTTAATTAGTAAAATGTTGACATATATCAATATAAAAATAAATGATATATTAATTTCAAAATATTGTCTTATATATATTTTTATATAATAAATTTGAATGTTTTATTAACTATTAAAATTTTGATATATATCAATATAAAAATAAATAATATATTAATTTCAAATGTTAAATAATAATTTATAAAAAATAATATAATCATTATGTTAAGTTAATTAATTTATAAATTCATATGTTTGAAACGACGTTTAAAAAAACAATTGTTTGTAATACTTTCACTAAAGAAAGCTAGTTTGTTTTAGTTTGAATGAATATGTACATCATAATGAAAATATAAATTAAAACAATATTACACTAAGCAATCAAAGCGTAAATATTTTTCACATAATAATTTCACTTATTTAAGGTATTGTTATTGGGCACTGATACATTGCGGTCAATAATTTGTCAAACAATCAAAATTGTAGTATCTTTCAATTTCAGGCTCGTTAACCTGAAGTGAAGTGTTCATACCTTTACAAACTGCGTTAACAAGCCAACAAAGCAACACCAAACACTTCAAAGAAACTTGAAATTGTCAAATAGTAAAGATATTATTGACACGTATTTCAACTGGGTTCCCTAATCGAGCAACCCATGAAAGCACGGTCTCGAATCACATTGGAATCTGCACTTCTTAATTTGTTGCTTTGCCCATGGGCATTTGGTTCGAAAATTTATATTTCATTACTTTTTCAATTGTATTTAATTTTCTTCATTTTGCTCATATTTAAAATTAATTTTTTGTTGACCATAATTTCGAAGTTTAATGACCAGAAATTTTCTTGATATGAACGCGGTTTGCATTGCGATTGGTTCGGTTCATTCATAAAAATCGTCAAAATCATAAAAAATCAATTTATCATTTTTTAAGCTTCGTGCGAAAGCGCATTCATATTTTGTTAGCCATTAAATTGAATTAAATTACAAAACATATCTAAGCCCACAAAGGTCAAAGCTACAATAAAAATATTTTGTTTTCATAATGATAATTTAATTTAATTAAATTTTAATTTTAATTAAATTTTGTTTTTTTTTTATCTTACTAGAATAATAAACAATTACGATGTTTCGTAACCTTGAGATTTTGTTATGCCCTTTGTATTGAAATAATAAAAATATTTGTTATAGTTTTTCGATGTCGCAATATTCTTGTTTTTGTAATGTTTTTAAGTATCTACAGTGAAAACTCTGTTGAGCGGAGATTCACTGTTCAGAAATAGAATATTTTAAAAGTATAATAATTTTCTTAAATTTATAAGTAACTTTCTTTCAGATTTAGATGTAGCTTAT